GGTTTCGCTACATGTAGGGTGGAATTTTCTAGAAAGCTGTGCTGTACACAACGAACCTTTACCATCTCCACGCTAGACGACACTTGGGGACCAAAAAAAGTTAATTCTCACGCTAATGCAGGGCTGTGACGATGTGACCAGGGACTCAATCCAATAGGATGGTGAGAAAACTCTAAGTGAAGGATACCAGTTGAAGCTAGTTGGTGACGAAGATGTCGACGAGTAATCTTTCGAGGCCAACCCAGGGATGGGCCTTTGGAAGCCGAACTTGTCGCTGGAGAGCAGAAGGAGTCTGGTATTCATTCATATGTGCCCATATCTTGTTGTACGGTATAGCTGAGCGAAGGATGCTATATGTCAGCCACGGTATACGTAAGTAAAGTGCTACTGGAGTAATTTTGCTTCTTATAGCCAGTTTATTAAATTAATAAAAATAAATAGAAGATAGGTAATAAGATTAATAAGGCTAAGTAGCCTATGAGAGATATTTATCATTAAATAATTTGGAGTCGTAAGTATTCTTTTCTAAAGGTATAGTTAGTATTCAAAATATAGAATAATATAAAGGTAATAAAGAGAAAGAACTGAAGGTAGAGATAAGGTATATATACCTTATTAGATATGAAGTCTTTTTAGTTATTTTAGCTTATTATTCTGATAACCTCTCTTACTAGCTGTAATTAGGAAAAGTGTAATCTACACCTTATTTAAATTAACTGCTTGATTGACCTTGGGGGGGGCTTAGGGTTGAAAAAAGCATTCTATCATACTAAGGTTTGACGAAATGTTGCAAGCTCTTACGAAGAGATGGTGGGCATCCATAATGTACAAAGAAAAGGCAAAACTCGGAAAAGAGAACCGTGAAGTCGTCATATTGGGGATCTTCCATATGGACAGGGGAAAGCGACTGCTTAGGAGCTTTGGTCGGTTCTAGAATGATTTCTATATATCGGTGTACATCCGTACGAAATAGAAATGTAAATTGTGGTAAGAGACTAGTATAGCTCTACTCTTTTCAACACATCACGGAGAAATAGAAGACGGTGTTGAAAGTCAAGGGTGCTATGTTGGTTGTGTCCAAAAGTCCGTTACGGTAAAGTAGAGAAAGAGAAACATTAGCAATCCTCGACAACTACAAACTAAAGGCTTGCTTCGCACTGGGCTAGTAAAACAACCAAGTCGGCTATCAACAGATATTCACTAATAGCACATCCTCCTTGAGGAACTGTCATGATGGAGGCTGAATACCGACATGTCCGTCAAAGGAGTGACTAAGGCTTGAGGCGCCATGCAGGCTACCATGCAGCTTCTCTATCGTATTATTTCTCAATCAATTTGGTCGTAAAGTTCCAATTTAAAGATTTATTTTTCGATACTCATTTTTATCGGTTTTCTTTTTCTTTCTTTTCTTTTCTTTTTTTTTTTTTTTTTTGTTTTCTTTTCTTTTCTTTTTATGGCCTCTTTTTGT